CTAAACCCTAAACCCTGAACCCTTCGCGAAGCCTGAGCCCAAAGCCGCCTGAGAGCCTAAAGCAGCCTTCGAAGCGGCCCTACAAAACGCTTGAAACACGCTCTTGGCAAGTAGGGGAGTTTAGGGTTTAGGGTTTAGGGTTTAGGGGGGTTCGGGTTTTTGGGGGCTTTGGATCGGGATTTTATGGGGTCTAGGGCCCATGGCTTTACAGGTACCTCGGTCTTCCTCTTCCAGCTTGTAGAATCGTAGAAGCGGTGTGTATCTCCTATTAGGGGTTTAAGGTTTATGGTTTAGGGTTTAGGGTTTAGGGTTCCTACCGAAGACCCTGCCGATCTCTTCCCGGTCCAAAGTCCGAGGTCTCAGACCCGAAACCCGGCATCCTGACCCAGAAGTAGCTGAGCAGATGTCCACAAAAAGTATCAGACTACTCATACGAGGTAGGTTTTTTGCAAAGTGTTATCTAGGCGGTTTTGACAGGGTTTTGCTTATTGCTTCTTCCTTTGAAATCTGACTAAATCTAAGGTCTTGTTCCTCCCCTTTGCAACTCTGCTTCACTACTTTGTCGGTAACTTTTGGTGCTTTAGGAGAGGCCAAAACGCAGCGACAACCACTGAAACTTGCAACTTGTATCCTAACATGAACCTTTAAAGCTTAGGAAAACCACAGAGCGCTAGTGAGTGCTGGTGAGGACATGTGAATTTGTGGCGGGCCAGACAAAGTTTAAAGGTTGGATCCAAACCAACTATCCGCAAGAAGCCTTATTCGAACGCTCCATTTGCCATCCCCAGGGACACGATGATGATAGAACCGCCAAGCCCCAAATTGTAGAACCCTAAACCCTAATCCCTGATGGAACCCTAAAGCCCTAAACTCCAAACCCTAGAACGTTATAGAAGCCCTAAACCCTAATCCTGACGGAACCCCAAACCCCCTAAACCCTAAAACGTTGTAGAACCCCTAACCCCTAAACCCCAAACCCTAAACCCCAAACCCTAAACCCTAAACCCTAAACCCTAAACCCTAAAACCTAAACCCTAAACCCTAAACCCTAAACCCCCCAAGCCAGAAGCGACCCCCAGGAGCTGAACGACCCGGTGATGGGAGGCCAGTCGACGGGCTCCTGGAGTCTTAGGAGCCCAATAGGTAAACTTCAAACTTTTTTTGGGTTAGGGTTTAGGGTTTAGGGTTTAGGGTTTAGGGTTTAGGGTTTAGGGTTTAGGGTTTAGGGATTTTTTGGTATATTAAACAGTTTAAACTCTTTTGGGCCAGGATACTGGGCAGCTAAGGACTTACTCTGACTCTCCTCACGATGACTTCGGCATCTTCGACGGCCAGGCTTTCGTCTTATGCAAAGACAACAAACACAATACATATTATGTACATATAGATATGCACGTGTTTGAGTAATGTACGTATGTATGCATGTATGAATGAATGAATGTATGTATGTATGTATGTATGTATGTATGTATGTATGTATGTACGAATGCATGTGTGTGTCGATATATATATATATATGTATATACATATATATATATATATATACAAGGCTTTAAAACCCCAGACATTGTCTTACTAGTTTGGAGTTAGAGGTAAAGAGGTCTTGGTTGGTCAGCGTTCCCGCGAGGCGCGTGCGTGCTCGGCGCGCCCGGGGGTTCTGCAGCTCCTGCTGTGGTGCGGTGCGCATTTTGGATTTAGGGTTTAGGGTTTAGGGTTTAGGGTCATAATTTCTACAGTCACGCTTGGGCCGCATCCTCTGAACGGGCGATGTCATTTGTGGTTGTCCTTGTGGTCCTAGGCTTCGTCTTGGTCGCTGTGGTCGTCCTGGTATCTTCGGAGTGTGTATGGTGCGCGGTCGGTCATCGTTTGAGGATTTAAGCAGGCATAACAAGGGGTTCGGGGCTTGGTCTGCCTAATGGCGAGTATGCTGGTTGGGCCAGTGCTAAGCCCACAAACCGGACATCCCTGATTCAGCCCTGAAAGTCAACAGCCGTGACGACAAAAGATCGGCACCGATCGCACCCACCACACCCACCACTGGCAGCACTACTGTTGATAAACCCTAAACCCTAAACCCTAAACCCTAAACCCTAAACCCTTTAGGGTTTAGTCAAGTGCAGGTGGTCGACGTGCCCAGCCTCAAGGCCCCAGGCTTCATCAAAGCCGCGTCGGACGGCACTTTCCCAGATGTTTCCTCGACAGCGCGGCTCGCTTGCAGATGATGCCCGCTAGGGTTTAGGGTTTAGGGTTCAGGGTTTAGGGTTTAGGGTTTAGGGTTTAGGGTTCAGGGTTTAGGGTTTAGGGCCTAGGGTTTAGAGTTTAGGTTGTTGTCTTCAGCGACTCTTTTGTGGTTGTGCTTCCCCGAGTTGTTAGAGTCGCATCGCACCTGTACAAAGAGCAAGGAATCCATGGATGATGCAGTTAGTATGGGGGAAGGAATAATTTCCAAGCGAGTCGTGAGCTGAAAAGGCTCCTTACTGTTGATGGACAAAATCCTGCATGACCCAAATATAGTATAGTACTATAAATCCCATAGTTTAGGTATATAAGGTCATGCAGGATTTTGTCCATCAACAGTATGATGACTGTACTATAATATGCCCAAAACCCTCTTCTAATTATTAGCGCCCCTATATTACCCATGACTTAAAGAAAGGGAGGCTACCAAAGCCACCCTGAACCCTGAACCCTAAACCCTTAGACCCTAAACCCCTAAATCCCTAAACCCTAAACCCCCAAACCCCTATATTACATGTTTGACCTCTGGAAGCACGAGTTTCGGACGAGTCGGGACCCTTTTCTGGAAGTGCTCTTGCAACGATCCGACGTCTATAAATATGCCTCAGTACTTGGGAACGGTGTTAAAAACCCTAAACCCCAAACCCTAGCAATAATCTAAACCTTAATCTTAAACCCTGAACCCTGATCCCTAAACCGTAGCAATAATCTAAACCCTTAACCCTAAGCCCTGAACCCTGAACCCCAAACCCTAAACCCATAAAAGCCTTCAGATCCTCCAAGAACCCCAAGTTTCGGACGGCTCTCCTTTCCGAGGTCTGGCGAGCTCGTGCTGCAGGCGGTTCGGGCTTCGGGGAAACGCTGCCTCTTGAAACGCCCCCTTCTCCTAGGTCGTATCAGGGTTTGGTCGTATTAGGGTTTAGGGGTTTAGGGTTTGGGGGTTTAGGGTTTAGGGTTTAGGGGTTTAGGGTTTAGTGGGTTAGGGTTTTGGGGTTTAGGGTTTAGGGGTTTGGGGTTTATTTAGGGTTTAGGTAGTATTAGGGAGACCCCTTAAACGGGACCCTTTTTCGCCCTACTTATGGCTCTCTTAAAAATGCCCTTATTTAGAAGGTCTAATGCCCCCACCAATCCTAACTCCCGCCTTCTGAAGCCCTATGTAACCCTATGAACCCTGTAAGCTTGTGACACTCTCAAGAAACACCAAGCACCCAACCCTAAACCTAAACCCTAAACCCTAAACCCTAAACCATAAACCTAAACCCTAAACCCTAAACCCTAAACCCTAAACCCTAAACCCTAAACCCTAAACCCAAAACCGTGGCTCAGCGCAGGTGCGCAGCACGACGCCTGAGTACACAGGTTTCCGGTTCTCTTTTGCATCAGGCCAGCCCGGTTTAGGGTTTAGGGTTTAGGGTTTACAGAAAAAAAGGCTTAGGGCTTAGGGTTTATGTAGGGATTAGGGCTTGGTCTTGGATTCTAGACCTGATGTTCGAGCTTTGTTTTGCTTTCTACATGCAGGGGTCTGTTTTGCAAGCATTTGTTTCATGGGGCTTTTAAAAGGCTTGCGGAGTTGAAACTTCCGAGGTGCTGCAAGAAACAAGTGAACCACAGGCCTGATTCAGAGTTTTCAGAGTGCAGAATTTGGGATCTCCGGTTAGGATAAGGGTTTAGGGTTTGGGTTTTGGGGTTTAGGGTTTAGGGATCTGGTGTCGGTCTGAATGGGAGTGCGCACACACAAACCGCGCACTCACGCACAAGAGGCCAATTCCCCGAAACTCGTAGGCCCCCGGATCGAGCCTTCTGAATCTTGAAACCCTAAACCCAAAAACCCTACAACCCTAAAACCCTAAAGCCCTAAAACCCTAAAGCCTTGAAGCCCTACCCTACAACCCTAAAGCCCTAAAGCCCTAAAGCCCTAAAACCGTAAAGCCCTAAAGCGTCTTCGGGCTGGGAGGAACCCTGTCGCCCAGCTACGCCTGTGCCGGAGGTGCGGCGTTCGAAGCCTCGAGTTGAGGGTTTCGGGCTTTCGGAAGGTATGGGGTTTAGGGTTTAGGGGTTTATAGGGTTTAAGGACGAAAGGGTTTAGGGTTTAGGGTTGAGGGTTTAGGGTTGAGGGTTTCAAATTTTTGCCAGGCTGGTGCCGCTGCAATGAAGATCAGGATGTGTTGCTAGGGTTCCTTGAGATGTCGAGAAGGCGGTTCAAGGCTTCTCTCTTGAAGCGTGGCTCCTTGTAGATCAGCACAACAACGAAGCCGTTCGGAACAGCGATGACACGTGCTTGGTGACATAAAGGCAGCCCTGAATGTATCTTAAACACGTCCCAAGCCCGTTTCAACAGCCTCCTCCTTCGTGGCCCCCGGTACTCCCTAAACCCTAAACCCTAAAACCTAAACCCTAAACCCTAAAACCCTAAACCCTAAACCCCTAAACCCTAAACCCTAAACCCTCAGCCTTGTTTGGTGCTGAGTCCTTCCATCTTCAATCCTAAGCTCCCGATCCGCAAACCCTGCAACCGAAGTTTCACTTGCAAATCTTATACCAAGAGACTCCAGTACCCCTTAATTAAGGAATATACCTTAACTCATATCAGGGATCCTACTATAATTTAGGGTATATTCCTTAACTAAGGGATATTGGAGCCTCTGAATAGTAAACCCCAAAAGGTTGAAAACCGGATTAAGGACAAGTAGTGCTGGGATTCTCTATACATGACTCTTAGGGATTGAGGCTATTGGGTTTCCCCAACTTTTCGGGCTTCTAGAAGCCTTAAACCCCAAACTCTCCAACCCCAAACCCTAAACCCAAAGCCCTACCCCTGTCCCCTCAACTTGTCAAGCCTACACTGACACCTTGAAGCTGGGCGCCAAAACCCTATTCTAATTCTGAAGGCCCCTATATTAAGCCTTCCCGAACCCCTAAACCCTAAACTGCCCCACACCCCTTACACGCTGAAACCCCTAGACCTCTATACCCGAGTGCTCAGGTGGTTCCATCCCGATGAGTCGTGGCTGCTACAAGGCCCGGCCTCCAAGGAAGCCCCCAGAGAGCCCGATACCCCTTAATTAAGGAAGAGACCTTAAATGGGGTTTAGGGTTTAGGGCCCGAAATTGAGGAAGATACCTTAAAGCATAATATTAAGGCCCCTATTAATTTAAGTTCTATTCCTTCTTTAAAGGGTATTGGGCTCTCTGGACATGACCTTGAACCGCGTCAGCTCAGAAGGGTGTCGGCTTTAGGGTGCAGGGTTTGGGCCGTTAGGGTGTAGGGTTTAGGGTGTAAGCTTCAGGGTGCAGGGTTTAGGCTTCAGGGTGTTCAGAGCTTTGGGGTTTAGGGTTTGGGTTTAGGGTTCAGGGTGTGGGTTCCAGATTATTGAGTTTTCGGTTTGGGGTGGTGTCTATTCCAGGAATGCCGGTTCAGGTTTCCTGGGTTTGGGTTCTGTTTTGTGTTTTGTTTCGGGTTTCAGTTGGGGCTGTGGGGTTCCAGCTCTTCTAAACCCTAAACCCTAAACCCTAAACCCGAGTTGACTTGGGGTCTTGCTGGTTTTTATCGCTAGCAACGGCCCATGGAGGTCCAGAAAACCCTAGCCCCTAAACTCCATGGGTTTAGGGTTTAGAGTTTAGGGTTTAGGGTTTAGGGTTTAGGGTTTAGGGTTTAGGGTTTAGGGTTTAGGGTGTAGGCAACCCCTAAGCCCTAACCCTGAGTTTCTGAACTCTTTTTCTCTTAAATCCCGAATCCTGAAAGCTAAACCGGATGGCATAGGACGCGAGCGACACTGTGCTGGTACCCTGATCAGACCCTAAATAAATAAATGCACAAGACAGCAAAGAAGATGTTTACGATTGCATCACGACCAAGACAGCCTATTACACCCCATTCGTGCACACAAAAACGGGACACTGTGTAACCCTAAGCACTACACCCTAATATAGAAGCCTGAGTAATTAGTATTTGCTACCCTTCGTTATCATAAATACACTATAGCATACCACCAAAGCCTACTGAAATTTCGAACCCCCCGAATTATTCCTTAAAGTAAGCTTTGTAAGACCCCTTTCACAGGGAGTTTAAGGACTGCGCAGCCTTTGTGGGCAGTTGTGCATCTGGACCGATGCAAGCTTCACGACTCTCATGGGCCAGAAGACAGACAGCTATCACCAGAAGATCATACGCAAGTATATACTTTATATAGGTACATGGACCCTTCAACCCTAAGCCCGCATAGAACCCGTGTAGAACCCTTAAAGTCCAACCCAGCGGGGATTGGCAGCTCTGAGGAGCGGCAGGCCGTTCTGGAGACATTCCTAGCAGAGGCTGCTTCATGTCACTGGCAGACAGCCTGGACCCTAGAAACTCTCATCGAACCTAGGGTTTGGGGTTTCGGGTTCCCAGAGAGCCCAATACCCCTTACATAAGGAATAGACCTTAAATCCTAAACCCTAAACCCTAAACCCTAAACCCTAAACCCTAAACCCTAAACCCCTATAGTTCCACGTAGATTCCTTATTTAAGGGGTATTGGGCTCTCTGGGAAGGACCCCGAAAGGCTCCTTTCTCAGAGGAACCTTTCAAGGAGCCCTTTGAGGAACCCACCCCAAGGTAACCTCCGACACCTTAAATCCTAAGCCCTAATATACTTGGAGGATCATGGGACTTAGTAACTAGGGTTATAAATAAGGTAGCTATAATTATAACCCCAATTAGGGTACTTATAACCTTACTTACTAAGTCCCATGATCCTCCAAGTAGGGGCCTAAAGCATGACCGATACTATGTTGGTGGTTCTGTTTTGTGATTGTAGTATAATATGCCCCAAAACCCTATTCTAATTATTAAGGCCCTTACATTACGCCCTAAACCCTAAACCCTAAACCTTAAACCCTAAACCCTAAACCTTAAACCCTAACCTTACATTACACCCTAGACACGAAACCTCACCCAGAATCCAAGCTGCAGGCCAAGTTCCAGGTGCCCAAAGGCGACAACTTCACGGAGGTGCGCGCCTGGCCACAGAAATGCTGTCCTGCGGGTCCTTTGTGCTTTCGTCGATGGGGTTTAGGGTTCAGGGTTTTACGAGTAGTTTTTTTCATTTTTGAGCTCTTCTTAGGTCGGTTTGGAGAATCAAGGCCAGCTAATTCGTAACAAGGTTAGAACTACCAAAACCGATGTTGAGAGTCGCCCGAAATTGGCGCTACTTTACTTATTACCCTAAACCCTAAACCCTAAACCCTAAACCCTAAACCCTAAACCCTAAACCCTAAACCCTAAACCCTAAACCCTATTATTCATTGACTTGCCGAGCCCCCGATCCTTCCGAAAGGAGGGGGGCCTCTTGGCCTCGAAGCTTCACGACAGGAGCCCTGCAAGGACCAGCTCCTTCCCCAAACCCGGAAACCCTGCACCCGAAACCAAAGGGTTTAGGGTTTAGGGTTTAGGGTTTAGGGTTTAGGGTTTAGGGTTTAGGGATTCTAACCTCCGAAACCCTTACTAAACCCTCAAAGTCTACTCCCTAGACCCCGAAACTCTAAAGACTAAACACCCACACCCTCGAGCCTGAACATTAAACCCCGAAGCCTTAAACACGGACTCCCTAAACCCCAAGCCCCAACACACTAAACAGTCTACGCTAAACCCTAGACGTTTTTGTACCCTAAACACAGACACCCTCAACCCTCGAACCTCGAAATCATACAGCCTGTCCGTGAAATCTTGAAGCCAAACATCACCGAGACACGAAAACGTTTTTTTGAGTTTTCGTTTTTGGCTTTGAGTTTGGATTTTGGGTTTTGCTTTTTGGGTCTTGCATTTTTTCAGATTGTGAGTTTTGGTTGTGGGCTCTGGTTTTTGTATATTCGCTAGGCCTCAAGTTCAGCCCTCGTAGCTTTCAGCACCGAGGGTTTCAGGTTTGCCATGCCGAAGATTGAGGGTTCAGGGTTTCGGATTTTAGCTTCTTAGGGTTCGGGTTTCAGGGTTTTAGGGTTCGGGGTTTAGGGTTTAGGGTTCGGGTTTCAGGTTTTTAGGGTTCAGGGTTTAGGGTTTAGGGTTTAGGGTTCAGGTTTCAGGTTTTTAGGGTTCAGGGTTTAGGGTTCAGGGTTCAGGGTTTACGGTTGGGTTTCAGGGCTTACGGCTTGCAGTTAATGCCCTTGACCCTAAACCCTAAGGCCCTGAACCCTCAACC